TGCGAAAAAAAAAAAAAATAGAAAAAAATATTGAAGATATTATTTTTTTTTGCATATTAATCTAATGCCATGACTTTATAAATGTAAGACTTTCTGCTCTTTTGTTCTGCTCTTTTTTTGTGCCTTCTAGGGTTAAGCAAACTACAAAAAAAAAACATATTTTCAACAGTTATTTTGCCCTGAGTCTTTTCCTTTTGGTTTCACAGGTTATACAATTGCCAGCACCACTGCTACCCAGCTGAAACAGGCTGTTTCTCTGGGTCAGGACCTGACTGCCTATGCAACCTATGAGGGTTACCCTGCCTTTGCTGTGACAAACCGTGGAGATGCATATGGAGTGTTTTAAAACCTTTAACTAACAGTCTATGTAATGTTAATGTTAATCTGTTCCATCTATTCTGTCATGTTTCTAGGTTCAGTAGTGATTGTTTATTTAGAGTTATGATAGCTTTATTTCTTCCCAAGTGTTTTTGAGGATTTTTGCAATATTGAAGAATATGAGTCATATTTTGACTTACCTCAGGAAGAGGGCTGCCTGAAGGCTGCCAACATCTCAATCCCAAATGTTTCCAAACATTTGACAAAGCTTCAATTCCCTTGATTTAAACATAACTTGTGTCATAAATTGTGGTCATCCAGAATGGTGACCCCATCATATTTTAATTTTGATTTAAAAAAAATTTTTATATCTAAATTAGAGACATTTAGGCTGGACCCTTGTTCAATGCTGACTGCTGCCTTTGAACGACTGCCTTTAACAATGAATTATTACAACTGAATGTAATTTCGAAACACATAGTAATATCCCATTGTGCTACATGATACAGACTTTTATCCAGACATTCACTGCGTCCGAAATGGCATACTTCCCTACTATATAGTACGTGAAAAACAGTATGTGAGCAGAGTAGTCCGAATTCATAGTATTCGAAAAACAGTTGGGAGAAGTACCCGGATGACCTACTACTTCCGGCGTGATTCTGAAGTGTGCATATGATGGACACTTTATGCCTTGTCCAAATACCCACACTTGCGGCCTTGGCCACTTGAGAGCGTGTGCGCACGACAGGAAGTAAGTGCGCAAGACTGTCCCAGGTCTCAATTAAAATAAAGCTACGTAAACACTTGCATTTTTACAACACTATAAGTGTGTCCCATCAGGTATGAAAAGTTCAACACACACTTGTGGTCTTCATCCTCACTTGAACACTTGGGCCAAATACAGGAAATACGTCATATAAGTGTTCAAGTGGTCAAGTGCAAAGACCGCAAGTGTGGGTATTTGGACAAGGCATTACTATCCCATGAGGCCACGGGAGAGAATTTATGAATGGAAATGAAGCAACGCAACAGAGACTGGTAGGTCATGTGACAGTAGCAACATGGCGGATGTAGTACGTCCGGATTTCATTCATACGTACTTTTTTAACGGTCGTAAAGTAAATTCAAATGTAGTAGCTACTCAGACAGTACGCGATTTCGGATGCACCAATTTACTTTTGTAAGCTTTGGCACTGTATTTAAAGTGGTTTGTTTTTGTGTTGGTTTTCTTTCAGTATTTACATTAACACCCAAGTACAGAGAGTTTTAACAGATGAAACCCATTCATACACTTTTGTATGTATCTGCATGTTTTATGAACATTGTAGAAATGGTTCACACTTTGTATCTGGTTCGTTGATAAGTAGTTTTGCTATATTTTATAAGATATTTACAGGCTTGCTACTAATATTTTCCCACTTCAAACGTTTTCTAAGTGGGGAATGTAAGAGCATTGTTTAAATACACATGGACACATTTTTGTTAAATATTAAGATGCCTTAAAGGTGACAGTATTAAAGTTTGTGTAGCACTTAGAACTTTTTTTATACCTGAATTCCAACTCTGTTTTTTATTTACTTTGTTATTCGATCATGGCGTGTTTGAAATAATTTATTATCTAAGTGATTGGCATCAGAACTGGAGGGAGAATTTTTGACGGCATCATCAGGACAAAAAAAAATAAGCTGAGATCTTCATAGTGCTACAAAAAGAGTTATGAAAATATAATTCTAGAAAATCAACTAACCATCAATAAATCAAATTCACTTCTTGACGTCTCCTGACTTCTTTTTTGCATTTGTGACTCATTTTAAATGATAATGAAACCCTAAAACATTTTTGATATGCTACAAGTATAAGTACAGGTTGTACATTCAGTAGTTCTTGAGCTAGCATTAGCATCGCTGTTCTTTGTGTACTTTTAAGTATCGACACGACAATAGCTGTGTACCACACTTCATGAACGTCTTTCTGAGTTTTATGAAAATTTCGATTATACTAGCAAGTTTTCTACACAATAATTAATTCCTTTACCTGTCCAATAAAACTTGAGCATCCTATACTCCCTACTGAATTTTCTCAGTCGTCGAATCTTTCCACCTTGTGTTCACTGTACCGATGTTTACGCGGGTTTTGTGTGTGTGTGTGTGTGCGTCTTACTCTTTGTCGGTCTTCTCGTCTTCTGGCTTGTGGCTTCAGACCTTTTCTGCTTCTTCGGCCATAACGGTACTGATTCTCCCGTTGATAAAGCACGACAATACAGTAGGTGTGATTCGTTGCCTAATTTTCGGTCTTCGCGTAACTAAAAACTACACTATGCTACTAGCTTATCTACAACTCACCAACACTTATTGAAAACCGTAGGTCAAGTCTTTTCAACATGGCAAAATACATTGAGGGGCTGACCAGCACCACGTGTAGGCCTAATGGAAACTTTTTTACTGTATGGAAAACTACTATCATTCTTTACAAAAACATTATTTATATGTATTTTCTTAAAATCAGAATCAAACTACTGAGGCTTTATTACTTAAGGCTGAAATTAGTTATTTTTCAAACTTTTGAGCCATTTTGTTTTTCTGTTTGCAAGGTGCTTGCTACTTTTACAAAATGAATAGGCCTAGTGCATAATTACTAGGACACAAATTTAAATTCAAACATTTTATTAAAGGGGTCATATGATGCTGCTAAAAAGAACATTAGTTTGTGCATTGGTGTAATGAAATGTGTTTATGCGGTTTAAGGTTCAACAAACACATTATTTTCCACATACTGTACATTATTGTTTCTCCTCTATGCCCCGCCTTTCTGAAACGCGTCGATTTTTACAAAGCTCATCGGTCTGAAAAAGCGAGGTGTGCTGTGATTGGCCAGCTATCCAGTGCGTTGTGATTGGCCAAATACCTCAAGCGTGTGACGGAAATGTTACACCCCTTACCATATGGTGATGATGCCTTGT